CATCTTCCTTTCCATCTCTTCATTTAGAACATCAATCTTTGTCATTTGAAAGAAATAATATCATTAGAGGTTGAATTTGTAATTGAAACCCAAAATATCTCTAAAGACTCTACTAGAGTATCTAGTAACCATAGTCCCAAAATTTCATCATGAAAATTGATATCCATTTCTGACCGTTGATCTAGGAGCCCTTAAAACTTAATTAAGTGATCTAAAATAGAAGAACTTTTCCTATACCACAAATTCATCAAGCAATTCAACAAATATAATTTATTATTGTCTGACTTAGAAGTATACAAAGACTCAATCTTCTCCCACAAAGTTCTAGCATGTGTCTCATAAACAATGTGATATAAACATTATCTTCTATAGTGTTGAAGAAAACCACACAACTGTTGGTGCTTAAAGTTTGATTCTTCATCAAACATAGAATCCGACTTTTGCATAACAAATACTAAAAGATGCAATTTCTTCTCAAAAAACAAATATTTCATCTTACCCTTCCACAAATGAAATTTTGTACCATTTAAAGCAACCATCTTGGTATTTATCTCCATCATTCAAGCAAGTAAATGTAATCTGCCCCAAACCAAGAGCTCTATCATCACTCTAATAGGGAAAACAACAACACAATAACCAAAAATATCAAAGAACGTAGCAAAAATAATCTCCCTAAACTTGCAAGAGTAACAACAATAGAAAATAACAAGAATAATCACAAAAGAGAATACTAATATTTTTAACGTGGGAAAACCCCCTCAATATGAGAAGTAAAAACCAACATGCATAAGCCAGTTAATCAAGCTTGACTGATATCAAAATATAGGTATAAGAGAGTCAAATCAAATGAAAAAATAAGTGCTTACAAGCAACCCATACATCAAAGTAACAATGCTCACAAATTTGAAGAACAAAGAAAGAGATACCTAAAATCTAATCACAATGTGAGAATAATATCTCTAAACATAGACCTCCAATTAACGATCCCAACAGTCAAGATAAAGAACCATATACCTCAAACCTATTGTCGAAATTTTCATCTGATCCAAAGATGAACAAATCAAGAAACATAACTAAGGTGACTCGGTAAGTAAGTCAAACAATTTTTTTTCTTCTTTTTCTCTTCCAAAAGTTATGAAACAACTGTTTTAATCGATTAAAACTTGTTGTTATCAGTTAAAATCACTTAGAAAGTTTTTTGAAAGTTTTTGGCAGAATATTAATTGATTAAATTGCGAATTAATAGATTAAAATAACTTAAGAGACTTTTTGTTAATTGTTTTAATCGATTAAAACGTTGTCACGTCAATTAAAATAAATCTGGAAAATAATCAAGAACATTTTAACAGATTAAAAGATTGTTTTAACAGATTAATTAAACCAACAGTTGAAATAAATCTCTATATAAACAAATTTGATTCAAAGTTTTAAATATACTTTTGAGCAATCAATCAAGCAATCATAAAAGCTATTTTCAAGAAAGAATCTCGCAAGTTTATGGAGTTTTTCAGAATTCTTTCTTGAGGCAATTTTTGCATTCTTTTGGTGAAGAAACACATTCTGTAGAAGTTGCTTAATCCGGGTTTGATTGTCCTAGTTTCTTCTCTTTATTTCTTTACATTTCTTTACTGTATTGTGGGTGTCTAGAATTGTTAGACACTGGTTTTGTAGCTGGAATTTGGCTGCAGGTTGGTTCAAGAACTGGAATTTGGTTCTTGGTGAAGGTTTAGGTGCAAGATCTGGAATTTAGGTCTTGTGGTAGATTGGGTGTGTGATTGGTATCTGTAATCTGTAAAATATTCAATCTAGTGGAACTCAGCTGGAATTTGGCTGAGAACTAGACGTAGCCCGGTGATTGGGTGAACCAGTATAAATTTTAGTTGTATTTCTCTAAACCTTACTCTCTTTAATTCTGTCGCCGTCTTAATTTGAATATCTTGATTTTCTTGGTTCAAGAATTGGTCAAAATTCTTAATCTTTGAAATAGATAATCTGTAAATTGTGAAAATCTTTCAAAGATCAATTCACCCCCTCTTGATCTCAACCTCTTTTTCTAACATTTCCGATAACCATCCAACTTTGTGGGTCACTGGGGATTCTTGATTTTGGGCTTTTTCCATTTAACCATCCAGTCTGTTGATCATTGGGGATTATATGTAGGCGCCTCTTAGGTAGGCGGGAGTCCACTGGGGATTTGTTAATTTGGATAATGCCTTTAAGTAGGCAAATGCTTCAGAAGAGAAGGCTTTGGTTGCACTATTTTGCCTCTTGAAATAGGCTGATATTCCTCTTAGGGATGTTGGCTCTTGCTTGTCAGGTCTTGCCTATGCGTAGGCAAACGACTCTCGAAGGATGTGAGTCTGAAGATTGTCTTTGCAGTAGGCTCACTGGGAATATATTTTTTTTCTTTTTGGTGATCCACTAGGGAATTATTCATTTCCTTGGGGATCTGATTTTTTTATTGCCTTATGGGGGGAATGAAATTTCTTATTCCTTAATTGATGCTAATAGGAGTTGACTTTGCGAAGCTCTTATTTCGCTGAGGGAATGTAATTTTCGTTTCCTTGTTTTGGTTGTGACCCACTTGGGGATTTCATTGATTACCCAAAAGTTAGGATTTTTATTTAATTTCTCATTTTTTCTCGATTTATCTTTTTTTTTTGCGATTTGAATTTTGTTTTTTTGGGGTAACATGTGTGTCTTTTTACTTTTTAGTTTCTTTTATGCATGCAGACTTTTTCTTCTTTTTGGGGATCCGCATAGGATAAAGTTTTTTTTCTTTTTTCCTTTTCATGGCCCACTTGGGGGTTTAATGGCCTTTATATTTTACAAAAGTCATACAAAAATTCTTTAATGATAGAGTTATACATCACGTATATATGTTATGAATTAAATGATAGTGACTTAATTAAAAAGTGATTATATATATATATATATAAATAATATAGAAGAAAAATGCAATACATATAAGAGTGAAAAAAATATAATATAATATAATACAATACATATTTAAAAGGGTAAAAAAATTAAATAAATAATTATTTTAAGAAAAATAATAATACAAAACTTGTAAAAGCGTAATAAAATCATAATTACTTATGTTTCCACTAATGAATAGAATTATTTATTTAACTTGTGAAAACATAAATCAAATTATGTAAATTTTCACTTTTTTCTTTCTATCATATCCATATGGATTGTTTAGTTAAATTAAGTTGTCAATAAATTATTTTTTAAATAAAAATTTATCCATACAAATTATTTCTTATTTAATAATAGAATAACAATTTTATTTAAATATTTATCATTAAATTGTTGAAGTGTCGTTCATTAAGTAAAAATAGAAAGTAAAACGATCTTATAGTTAAACGATCTCAAACTTATTGTCAAAATTTTAATTTGATCCAAAGATGAACAAATCAAGAATCATAACTAAGGTGACTTGGTAAGTAAGTCAAACAAATTTTTTTCTTCTTTTTCTCTTTCAAAAGTTATGAAATTTACTCTCTCTTCTAAACTAGAAGACCCATCTCCACTTAGGCTAAGTAAGATAAAATAAATTTGACTATCTTTAACTTTTTAGACACATAATTGAGAGTCAAATCATATAGGAATGACAATTACATCTCCATGTGATGAACCAATCCATTCTTACCTCAAGTTTGATAAGAAAAAACCAAATTAACTATGTGCGGGTAATGGTTTGGATTTTCCCCATTTTAAAAAGTTAGGAGCAAGGGTAATGCAATAATAATAATGTAATAATAAATATTTTATATATGTATAAATTATAATTAAATATTTCTTTTACATAATATTTTAATATAAATATAATAAATTAAAATATATACTTAATTAATAATAATAATTATTATTATTATAAAATAATAAATATTTATTTTTATATAAAAATATTAAAATTAATTTATTATAAATATAATTATTATTTTAGAAATAACATAGAAGGAAAGATAATTTAGGAGATAATAATAAAAAATTAAAGAAAAAATATTTTCACACCACTATTCACACAAATAACCTATTAAACAACTGCATTTTATATTATAATAATAATAATTTTAACTTTTTTTATTTTTATTAAATCTCTTTCGTGATTATTATATTAATAAGATGACTTGTATTTGGAATTGTTTTCTTGAAAGGTTGTGAATATATCATGGTTAAAAACTTGATTTCTAACATTAGCGAAAATGGAGAACGGGAACTGATCGTAAAATCCGGTACAAGGTCGACAGGCAAAACCCAGCCCGCGCCGTTCACGCTTGGTTCTTCATTTAATTTGTCTTCTCAAGAGAGCTATTAAATTAAATCCTTCTCTACCTAGAAATATTTATTGAACACTACTATTTTCATACATGCGCGTTAACTAAGTCAACGTTTGACTTCTGTAAAGATGAAACTCTGCTAACTCATGGACTTTGATTCATTCTCAATTACGTGCTATAAAATGACGATTTTTATAGTAAAGCATCAAAAGCTCTTCACATCTAATTCTTTTAGCTTTTTTCACTAGTCAGTCCATGGATTCTGTAGTAACTACCTTGTTTCTCTTCTTATTCATACCTATCATTATATACGTTATCTCAAGGAGAAAAGGAACCCACAAGCTTCCACCGGTACCTTACATTGGCCAAACTTGCGAACAGTGGCGTATCTTGAACATTGATATTGGGAACCAAATAATATATTATTAATAAATATAAAAAGAAGAAAGAAGATAAAAGGCTAGAAGAATAAAATTGTAAATATATATTTAAATATATTAAATAATCATTAAGTTAGAGAGAGACAAAATCATAAATTATATGAGAGTTATAAAACTGAGTAAGAGGATGAGAGGATAAAATTGTAAATATACAAGTAAATATATTAAATAAGTAATTAAGTTTGGGGGCAAAATCATATGAGAGTTACAAAACTTTGGGCCACGCCCTCTGCTCCCAATAAGATCCGCGACTCCTACCCTTCTTCGCCCCATAATGTGTTTCAAGCTAGGTCAACTAACCACCATAGTTTTGTCCTTACCAGACATAGCCAAAGAGGTTCTCCAAGCCCATGACTTGTTATTCTCAGATCGAACAGTTCCACTTGCCACAACAGTTCACAACCACAACCATTATAGCTTACCATTTCTCCCCATTTCACCTCTTTGGAGAGACCTTAGGAAAATATGCAACAACCAATTGTTCTCCCACAAGTCCCTTGATGCAAGCCAAAACCTTAGACGCATGAAACTGCATGAGCTCCTCGATGATGTGCATGCGAGCAGCCTCAGTGGTGAAGCCGTGGACATTGGAACAATGGCTTTTAGGGCTTCGATTAATTTTCTGTCAAACACTTTTTTCTCTTTGGATTTTGTCAACTCTGTAGGTGAAGCTGAAGAGTACAAGAGTATCGTGGAGAATCTTGGGAGAGCAATTGCAACGCCAAACTTGGAGGATTTTTTGCCGTTGTTGAATATGGTTGATCCACAAGGCATTAGAAGGCGTGCAGCTATATACGTTTCAAAATTGTTTGCTATTTTTGACTGTTTGATTCATAAACGGTTGAAGTTTGGAAATGTTTCAAATGCTGATGACATGTTAGACACCTTGCTCAACATTTCTCAAGAAGATGGCCAGAAGATGAACCACCAAAAGATTAAGCATTTATTACTGGTATGTCCTTTCCCTTGTCATTTTATCACTCCTCTTTGCTTTACTATCCATAGTCTTTCAAAAGACCTGGTGAGAGTTTTTCCTTAGTATGAAGTAGAAGCATGCCTTTGTGACAGGATCTAATTGTTGCTGGAACTGATACAACTTCCTACACAATGGAATGGGCAATGGCTGAGCTAATAAAAAACCCAGATACAATGTCAAAAGCCAAAGGGGAGCTTGAACAAACCATTGGAATAGGAAACCCTATTGAGGAAGCAGATATTTCAAGACTCCCATACTTGCATGCAATCATAAAAGAGACCTTACGCATGCACCCAGGGGCTCCACTTTTGCTTCCTCGCAAGGCCAAGATAGATGTGGAAATCAATGGCTACACTGTTCCACAGGGTGCACAAATCGTAATCAATGAATGGGCCATTGGAAGAAACCCTAGCATATGGGATAATCCTAATTTGTTTTCACCCGAGTGATTTTTGGGGTCAGAAATTGATGTAAAAGGAAGACACTTTCAACTCACACCCTGGCTTGCCATTAGCTATGAGGATGTTGCATTTGACGTTGGGATCATTGATCAACACTTTTGATTGGAAATTTCAAAATGATGTGAACCCAGATATCGACGTTGGTCAACCCTTGCGAGCTATTCCATTTAGAATAAACAAATAACGTGTTATCATAGAACCCTACATTACTTTTTCTTTTCAATTGTCATATTTTTCACAATATTGGAGTATGAGGATATGCCTAAAAAAATATTTTCACGAGAGCTTATAAAAAAATAGACTATCAAGTGGTGATAATATTAGAAAAAAAAATGGAAATTAACGGAGATAGATATTATTATTTAAACAATTGATTTATTGGGTCTTTATATTTTACAAAAGTCATATAAAAAGTCTTTAATGATAGAGTTATACATCACGTATATATGTTATTAATTAAATGATAGTGGCTTAATTAAAAAGTGATTATATATATAAATAATTTAGAAAAAAAATGCAATACATATAAGAGTGAAAAAATATATAATATAATATAATACAATACATATTTAAAAAGGTAAAAAAATTAAATAAATAATTATTTTAAGAAAAATAATAATATAAAACTTGTAGAAGCGTAATAAACTCATAATTACTTATGTTTCCACTAATGAATAGAATTATTTATTTAACTTGTGAAAACATAAATCAAATTTAAATTTTCACTTTTTTTTCTATCATCCATATGGATTGTTTAGTTAAATTAAGTTGTCAATAAATTATTTTTTAAATAAAAGTTTATCCATACAAATTATTTCTTATTTAATAATAGAATAACAATTTTATTTAAATATTTATCATTAAAATGTTGAAGTGTCGTTCATTAAGTAAAAATAGAAAGTTAAACGATGTTATAGATATAATAAAAATAATTAAATTTGTAAACCTTGTTTTTCGTTAATAAAATTGTAAAAAAAATATTCGAATTAATCTGATCTGATTTTGTAAATAAAAAAAAAGATTATAGTCTAATTTGATGTATATTTTAAAATAAATTATAATATTTTGTCTAGATTAAGTCAATGTGTTAACAAGAAAATTTAAATAGTGTTAAAAAAATGAATACCATTTATATATAAAAATAATTAATTAAAAGAATTAAAAAATATATTTAAATATAAAATAAAAATTAAAAAATGTATTTTTAAATTTTTAAATATATTAATAAAAGAAAATTTTATTTTATATATAATAATTTAATATATAAATTATAAGAGAAGAGATGAATGTATTTTTAATATAAGATTTAAATATTTGTTTATTATTATTGTTATTATTAATGATTTAAAATAATAGTTTAAATTAATTTGTAATATATATTTTTATTAAAAGGATATTATTTTTATTTTATTTAAAAATGATATAATAAAATTTATAATTTTAAAATAAAAAAGAATTGCTTGGCATCGAAAGTGGAGATTTGGTATGAAGATGTGGCAGCGTTAAGAATATTTTAAATAATATGTAAAAGAAATTATTGAAATAGAGAAAGAAGCGGTCCAATCTAATCTCAGAGTTTAGGTTAACCTTTTGGACCGACCCATCTCCCATGGCTATAAAAGAATATCAAGAAGAGGCATCACCTAAAACAATAGCAAATCACTTCTCAACTTCCTTTCAGTCTCTCGTTCTCTCTCTGCATTAGCTACGATGCAAGATCAAGACCAAACTTCGTCTTCTTCCTCTGCAGCAAGCATGCCAGAAGAAGCGGAATCAACCCAGCTGCTCATGGAAAAGAGGAAACTGAAAACCTCAGATGGAGAGATCATCGAAGTGGAAAAATGGATCGTGGACGAGATGAAGGTTGTGAAATGCTTCCTTGATACCGGGGAGATCGACCACTCCGTCGCAATTCCGGTTCCCAACGTCACCAGCAGCATTCTCAGGCAGATAATCGAGTTGCAGGTCAAAAAATTCGACGAAGGGCTCGTGAAGACGCTGAGCCACGAGGACTTGAAGCAGCTGCTCTTGGCTGCGAACTACCTGGAGATGACGGACGTTATTTCTTTTGTTGCCAAGACCATCGCAGACATCATCAAAGATAAGACTCCCAAATTCGTGAGGAAGTTTTTCGGCATTGTGAATGATTTCACACCTGAGGAAGAAGCTAAATTGCGTGAAGCCAACGCATGGGCCTTCAAGGACATCGTTGAGGACGACGACGAAGACGATTATTAGAGTGGATGCCAACATTTTCTTTCTTGATTCTTTTCTTTTAAATCTTTTTCATTTCTTTGCCTTTGAGTTGGATTAGTTTTTCTTTTTAACTCAGAACCAGGGTTTGAAGCATACAGTTTGACGAGATCTTGAATTGAAACACAGGGTTTCTTTAGTCGAATTAGTTTTTTTTTTTTTTTTTAATATTGGATTGATCCTCCGCTTGCTTCTTCTCTCTCATACACTCTAATCGTTTCTTCACTCCCAGGAAACCAAGTTCATAGCCATTTCCGGAGCCTCCTTCACCACAACCTTGCAAGTCCCCACCACACCCTCCACACGCTTATGAATATATATATATAAAGTTAAGTCTGAAGAATAATATTTTGTTCTATTTACTCTTTACTAATAAATAAAAATATTTATAACATGAATAAATTCTTAATAAAAATGTTTTTTTAGTTTCCTCGGAAAAGGTTTATTGAAAAAAAAATCTCGAAATATAACAATTGGTAATTACTTGTATTTGTTGAAAATTAATTTAAAATTTAAATTATATTTATGTATTTTAATTAATTATTATTTTAAATATTTGATTCTTTTTATTAATTTGTTAAGATATGTTTTAGTGTCTGTTTAATTGATAGGTTAATGAAAAATTAAATGCAATTACTTGTATTTGCTGAAAATTAATTTAAAATTTAAATTATATTTATGTATTTTAATTAATTAATTATTATTCTTTTAAATATTTGATTCTTTTTTTTTAATTTGTTAAGATATGTTTTAGTGTCTGTTTAATTGATAGGTTAATGAAAAATTAAATGCATTAACCCAATTTTCTTCGTTTTCAACTTATGATATATATTTATAACTATCTTGAGAAAAATATATAACATTAAAAGTTATTTTTATTTTTTAAATATTTTTAAAATGTATTAATTAATTTTGGAATATATTTGCGTATATTGAAGAATGAATATACTAAAAAATCAATAATATATAAAGACGTGTTTATTTTTAAGAGTAATACTTTTTTCTTTAATAATTTTTCTTTAATAAGGACACTAAAGATAATTTTGTTTTCTAAGAAGGACAATTTGCGTGTTTAAACATATTATTTTAAGTTTAACTATTTTTATATTTATTTATTATTTTCATTACTCTATTTCAATTTAAAATATTTATTATATTGTTGTATTTTTTTTATAAATTATATATATTACTTTTGTTAGTGAACTTAAAACAAACTATCATAAAATCACAACATTAGAGCTATAATAGAATATTAGAGTCACAATTAAAAAATAATTAGATGTTATTATCAATTTAAGTATTTGTTTAGTTAATTGATACTAAATATAAATCTGTTAATAATTAGTTGAGTGTTTAGAGGTTTAAAAATTTGGATGATAATTACATGTCATCTGTTTTAATATTTTAGTATTTTAGTTAATAATAAAATCTATTGTAATATTTTAGTTAATAATAATAATAATAATAATAATAATAATAATAATAAATTGAATAGTAGAAATGTGTCTAATTTTTATCTTAAAATAATAATTACCGTCTAAGTTTACACATTACTATAATTTCTTGACGTGAAAGATAAACCCTTTACCTAAGTAATTTTCTATTTTTTTATTTCAGTATTTTGTTTATATTGATAATTAATAAAAGAGTTTAATAACTTTCTATCATTGTCAGAAAATGTGTTTTAACAAGGGTTAAGAACAATTTACAAAACCAGTTTCAGATCCATTATTGATGAAGTCATCATTATATATAAGAGATAAGATGTGGTTCTAACATGTAATTGTATATTAAGATACGACGAGATTATAATGACTGTGGTCATAATTTACCGTCATATATTTGCATACAATAATAAGTATGGTCATAATTGTTATTGAATAATTGCGTCCAACACGCTTGTAATGATGATTATGATATTACCTGTTGTCGTTGTGTCTTTTTTTTTTTAATATATAATTTGTTTTATGACTCTATATCTATTATTTACATATTCAAGTGTTGTACCATGCATATTTTAAATATATTTATAGTACATAAACAATCATAAATATGTTACCAAGTCATTATAAACATCTATAGTATACAAAAATAATTAATCAACTATCATAATATTCAACAAAAAAGTCATTATTATAAATTGATCATTAATTTTAAGGAGGCCAAATAATATATTATTAATAAATAATAAATAAATATGAAGATGTGAAATAATATAAAGAATAATAGATCAAATATATATATATATATATATATATATATATATATATATATATATATATATATATATATATATATATATATATATATAACCATTAAGTTTGGGCGGTCATGGCCTCCCTCACCTTCGAAGAGAAGTTATTTCACTGTTAATTATCCTAATGTGTTAATTAAGTTAGTGAAGTATGTTGTTAATTTGCATCTAATATATTCTATGATATTTGTATCCATAAGGCATGTATCTATAAAAGTTACAATATTTTAAATAAAATTTTATGAGTTTAATTATAACTATCTTTCTTTAAACATATGGTTGTTGTACCAAATTTCAATCTCTTTCTATTTCTGCTTAGACAATCGTCTCCATCCATTGCTTTATCTATTAACCACAATAATATCCTCCACTTTGTCTATTATACTATTACCCAAAGTATAAAAATTAAATTAGTTTATTATTAAAAAAAACATAAAATAAATATTTTTTATTATACCTTTATATACCTGAAAACATTGAGAGGAAGAATGATGGAAATGTGAAACATGTCCCTACATTTCCAAGAGATGATTTTGATGATGATTTAAGTCAACAACATTCAAGACTCAAGCAAGCCCAAGATGATTCCTGAAGATTAGATAGAGTCTTAGAATACTGAATATGGAGGTACAAGTTGATAAAATGGTATAATGCATAAGCCTCCAAAACACAAGTGTGATAAAATTTCGTAACATGACATTTTTCATCTGTCATAATCAATTATGATGCATCAAAAATGGAAAAACGATTTTCTCTCTGTCATAATTGATTTAGGGTTTAGGGTTTAGGGTTTAGGGTTTTGAAGAATAAATATTTTTGAATATATCCTTATTTTTCTCTATTAAATTATTAATGACCAATGACTATTTTTTGATTCTATTTTTATATTTAAATGAGTTTTGATGAAAAATAAAAAATACACAATCATAGAATTCGAAAATACAATTTTACATTCATTTAATTTTAAAAAAGAATTCTGAGCAAGGCAACAGAGACATTTTACACCTTCTCGAGAAAACTCTCTTCTCTACTGTCTTCTGTACTTTCATTGTTAATCACACTTGTTCTTGGAGGTTGACATTCTATAGGCTTCTACAATTTGTTGTCTCTATTACCCAGGTGTGACTGTTCTTATTTTATTGCTCCCATCCTTTCTAGGGCTTAGGAAGTTGATGTTAAATTCCTTGTTTAGGGTTTAAGTGGTTGGTGTTAAATTCCCCTTTCTAGGGTTTATATTTGTGTCTGTGTTTTCATCCCTTTGATTTGTTCATGGAGGTGTTCATCCCTAGTGTGATTCTAGGGAGGTGTTCATCCATATTGGGATTCTAAGGAGGTGTTTTCATCCCTTTGATTTGTTCGGGGAGGTGTTCATCCCTAGTGTGATTCTAGGGAGGTGTTCATCCTTTGTGTGTTGGTGGCAAAGAAGGTGTTCATCTCTAGTGGAATTCTAGGGAGGTGTTCATCCTTAGTGGATTTTGATGAGTCATTATATTCCCATATTTTCTTCCCTTTTTGAACTTCTTTTAATAAGTGTTTTGGGCTTAACTTTCTGTTATTAGTGAATTTTTATTAATTGGGCTTCATTGAGACAATAATTCAGATTTTAATTAATTTGAATCTATTTGATCTAATTTTTGCTCATTATTATTTCCAGGAAAGTTTAAAGCAATTTTGGGCATAGAAGATTGGGTCAGATGCCATATTACAGTTTAAAACAATTTTGGGCTTAGAAAATTGGGCCAAATGTCATATTTTATTCTATACGGGAACTAACATTGGTTCACTGTTTTATTTATCATTTTTTCTACAAAGCTCCAAAAATCATAATTCTGAAATCATTATAAACTAGACACATTTAGCTTTCCATAGGATCCAAAATCATTCAATTAGGAGCTAAATTGGATTTTACATAAATTATCCAAAACGGGTCAAGCGTACCAGGCCGGCCCAATGGACATGCTTCAGTAATTTAAGTCTCCTAAATTCATTAAACCTCCAAAAGTAGTAGCAATGGTGGCGTTTTAAAGCTAACTCAAAAGGCTTTTAAAGGAGACTAAAATTGCTTAATTTAGATAAGTATTGAAAATACTGAACATGTTTAAAGTTGGCAGACCTGCACTGAAACCAACTTATGATGTGTTTTGTGGACCAGTTGGGCCCAAAACCTAGAATAAGATTAGGGTTAGGGTTATTTATGTGTTAGAGATGTAGGGTTAAGGGGGAACGACACCACGCAGCAGCCACACAACCGCATTTCACCTTCTGCAATTTGTATTCAAGTTTGTTTACTCTTCTATCATTATTTTAAATTTCTGTTTCGATTTTAATTATGTCTCTTCTTCTGCGTATTCGATTTTCCATGGATAGCTACATCTTTGTATTGATTTTATGAGGAGAATGCAAGTAGATCTTTGAGGTTTTGTTCTTCAATTTCATTTTGTTTGTTCTCTTAACTCTTCATCTTCTAATCTTAGTGTTGAATTATAATCTGTTTATGCTTAATAAACTGAAACTAATATCATAGTTTGCTTAATTCTGTGTTAGAGATGAGATTATGTGATGTATGCAATGGTTAATTGTATAAGGATAATTTGGGGTTAATCTTCGCTTAGTTGGTTAATTTCATGTTGAAATAAGGGTTAAGGAAAATTTGGGATTAATCTTCGCTTAGTTGGTTAATTTCATATTGGAATAAGGGTTAAAGCTAATTTGGGATTAATCTTCGCTAAGTTGATTAATTTTTTATTGGAATATAATTTGGGATTTATCTTGGCTTAGCTGGTTAATTTCAAAGTAATTTCATAACCTAGGATAAGAGACATTGCATTTGAATAAGGAAATCAATTGCATTCTAATCTATTTTTAATCAACATTTTTATAATATGTTTTTGTTCTATTTCATCTAATATTTTAAATCTGAAAATTTCCCCTTTTTGTTGTTGTTCTAATTCGAAAAATTAACAAGCTTTGATATAAATTCGCGGTCTTTGGGAGACGACCTAGGAAAGCTTCCTAGTACTACATTTATC